TTAAAACACAGACGCATCGTTAGAGCAAGATAGAGGAACATGCTTAAAGTTACTAGTTCAAAAGAAATAGCGTCATTTTAGAAGGCGGTTGTGAGAAGTGGTTTGGCCGGGCGTGTCATGTAACAGTGGGCCAGCGAGGCTTTTAGACTGAGCACCTGAAACTGACAAGGAGAGCCCACAGAGCCACAGCTCTTCAAAGCAGCTGTAGTATGAGTCTGAGCTTCCATCACGACGACTTTAAAACTCGAAAGATGGATGATTTAGATGTAAATTTTAGTTAAACTTGAAGCCTGCCCCAGGAAGCAGTGAACTTTCTGACAGCAGTGCTCTGGGGAGGGACACTTACAGCCTGAGCCGATGCGACCTCGGCAGCCAGCAGTGCAGGTGATAGGCTGCGTGGACCAAACAAAAGTGAATCATGGCGACACTGGTTCGGGTCTGTGTGAGATTCCACACCCATCCGTCACCTCCATGTTCCGACAGGCTCACTGTACCGGAACTCTTCCGGCTCTTGGCGGATCGGGAGTCCAGCTGAGATGGCTGGATATCTGAGACAGCTCACCAGTGTGACAAAGGACAATGCCACCGCCTGTGCGCTGGGAGATCAGCTTCCACCAGCCTCCTCACTCCCCAGGGTGAAAGGAGACCTGAGCTCTCCAGAACATAGAGTGGGCTGGAGCACCTTGTTCTCTTTTGAGACCCCAGGGGACTTCCCTGACTCCCTCCACCCTTACCTTCCTTCCACACTCTTCCTTGCGATAAGGCATCGAGAACCTGACTCACTGACTTGGGTGTGCCTGGGACTGGCCTGGGGCACCTTTCAACAAGCCCTGAAGAGCGTTCTCGGAGGCTGGCAGGAACTCCAGTTTCCATGTAGGCTACAATTCTGTGGAGTTACTGTTTTTTGTTTGTTTGTTTGTTTGTTTGTTTTCTGAGACATGTTCTCCTATGCCCAGGCTCGCCTTGAAATTCAGGTAAAATTCAGGTCCTTCTGTTTCTCCCACTCTCCAGCAGGTACCTTGTATGGGAACTAGAAAGGGTAAGACTAGAAGGGACAGGGTTAGTAACCCCTGGTTTCATGATGAAAGGGGAGAAGAGAGACATTGAAATGCCTTCTGTTTAACTCAGCCTTTTTTCCTTTTTCTGGAGGTGAAGGGAAGGCTGCTGGGGGTGAATGGAGGGTGGCCTTCAGCTGCATGTGAGGCCAGCAGGTGACCCCTGAGCTGCAGTCCCAACCCTTAACCCATTGACAAGGTACTGTTCATCAATGACTGTGCTCAATTTTCTGTCCATATTTAGCAGTTTCCCTGTGGGTTTTGTTGTTTGTTTTGTTGGTTGGTTGGTGTGTGGGTATAAAGGTGCACATTTGTGTATTGTCTGCATGTGGAAGCCAGAGGTCTGTATCTGGCATCACCCTCACCCCTTACTTTTGAAATGGGTTCTCGCACAAAACTTGGAGCTTGCTGATTGAGCCAGACTGGCTGGCTCTACTTCTCCAGGGCTGGGATTATACATGTTTGATGCCAACCCCATGCTTATGCGGGGGAGGGGCGGGAGGGGTCAATGCCTGTGGGAGCCAGACATGGTGCTGGCTGCATCGGCTGCATCCCTTACGTCTTCACCGTGTTCTAAAACGATCTCTCAGTGAACCTGGAGATTATCAGTTTGAGAGACTGACTAGCCAGAGATCCCTTGATATCCTCCTGTCTCTGCCTGCCCTACCCAGTGCTTGGATTACAGACATGTGCCACTGTGCCTGGCTTTTTTATGTGGGTGCTGGAGATCAAATTCAGATCTTCATGTGTGCATGGCTGACAAGCCCTTTGCTGACTGAGCCCAGCCCCTGTTGTTTTGTGGGGTTTGGGAAGATTTTTTTTTGAGACGAAATCTTGGTGTCTTGTCCAGGCTCCTTTCAGATCCTTGCCTCATCCCCCAGGCAACTGGAACTCCAAGGACTGTTTGGTTGGAGGGCCTCGGGCACGCTTGACTTCATCCCTGCTGACCGCCATTGCATCTTCTCTTGTTTCTTCAAGAGCTGTACGAATTTTTCTAGACAGGGTTTCTCTGTGTAGCTTGCCTGTTCTGGAACTCACTCTGTAGACCAAGAGATCCACCTGCCTCTGCCTCCCAAGTGCTGGGATTACTACCGCCTGACTGTGAATTACTGTCTGTCTGTCTGTCTGTCTGTCTGTCTTGCCATGCAGGGAAGTGAACACCTCATAAACAGTAGACAAGTGTGCCATCACTTAGCTGTCTCCCCGACCCTGTGAATTACTTTATTAAAATTGTCTCCATCACAAAGACCGAGTGACATCCATCCGTAAACATTTACTTGTGATTCAGGAAGACTTGTGGGTTTGCATCTGCTCTCATCTGGGCTTCCTGTGGGGATGAGCATCTTGGCTGTGGCTGGGCTGGCCTCTGATGGCCACAGTCACCTAGCAAGAGGCCAGCTATCTTCTCAGCTGGGCCTCCAGCTGTCATCCCATAGCAGTCTCTCATGGGCTTTGTTTTAGCGTAGAGGCAGCAGCAAGAGGCAGGGACATCTCTGTTATGTATAGTTTAGGTATTGTCTAAGTGTATCCTTAAAAGTCCATGTGCTGAAAGCTTGGTGTCCAGCATGGCTGTGCTGAGGTGGTGGGGCCTTTAAGAACAGGTGGAGAGCAAGGAGGTCATGAGTGTCATTTGGTTCTCAGGAGACCAGTTTTTTGTTTTTTCTTTTGTTTTGAAGACAGACTTTTCTCTGTGTAGCCCTGGCTGTCCTGAAACTCACTCTGTAGACCAGGCTGGCCTCAAACTCAACAGAGATCTGCCTGCCCGTGCCTCCTGAAGTGTGGGGATTGAAGGTGCAGACCTTGCTTTAAAGTTAGGCCACACCATAGACTTGGCCCTCTCTGAACAGGACTGGTTCACTTTCTCTTTCTCCACCGTGTTATGATGCAGTTAGGTGCCTTGTTTGTTTGGCTTTTTTTTTTTTTTTTTTTTTTTAGAAAGAGTTTCTCTTTGTAGCCCAGGTGGGCCTTGAACTCAGAAATTCTCCTGTCTCTGCCTCCCCAGTGCTGGTGGTGCTGCCACTACTGCCTGGATCTCTACTATGTTACTATAGCAACAGAAAATACCTCTATGATAGCCTCTAAGTGTAGGCTCAAAACTTACACACTGTCTTTTCTGCCATGTTCTTTAAGGCAAAGCAAATCATAGAAATAAAGAGGTGTATCCCATTCCTTTTTGGTAGGAACTGCACACTTGTATAATCGAAGGGCAGAACGTGAAGCCGGTTCTGCGGTTCATCTCAGTCAGTGAAGCCAAGAATTTGTCCACCTGGCCGCAGGAAGAACACATGATGTCAGGAGGTCTGTAAATGAACTTGTTTCCTTTTTCCTTTGTAGACAGCAACATCCATGTCAGAGATTTCCATCTAGAGCAGTAACTCCCACTTCTCGTCATGGACACAGCCGAGAAGACGGAAGTGGTTCTCCTAGCCTGCGGTTCTTTTAATCCAATCACCAACATGCACCTCAGGCTTTTCGAGCTGGCCAAGGACTACATGAATGCAACAGGTAGGAGCAACAACCCAGGTAACTGAGGCTTAGACACACTGAATGTTTCAGTGTGCACGCCTGGTCCTGGACACAGGCATGTTGCCCTGTTTCCTGGCAAAGGGTTAATGGGGCCAGCAAGGTGGCTCAGTAGATACAAGTGTTTGTCACAAAGTATGCAGCAGGAGGGTGTGAATAAGGCTGGCTGTAGTGGTGCATGTCTTTAATCCTTACTCCCAGCACTTGAAAGTCTGAGGCAAGTGGGTCTCTATGAGTTCAGACCAGCCTGGTCTATATAGCAAGTTCCAGGACAGCTGTGACTACACAGTGAGACCTTTTATCAAGGGAGAAAAAGGAGGAGGAGGTATGAATAGCATGAGAAGGAGCGGGGCTGGGCAGAGTAAAGTGCTTGCTTGATGCTGTCAGGTACCCAGGTCCTAGGGGAGGCAAGACAGATTCCTGCAGCTGCTCTAGGTGAGCAATGCTAATTGATTCAGGCTTTTAGCAAGGGAATTCGGCAATACCAACCAGAGTTTAAGCTTAAGCCATGTGGGGGCCAGGAGTTAGGGTGTAAGGGGTGGGGCTTTAGTTGAAGATGAAGGTTCTGAAGATAGAAAGAGTGGAGGTGGTGTAGCCACATGCATGAGCTCAACACTACAGAACCGTACACTTAAAAGGGCTTAATGGGGGCTGGAGAGCTGGCTCAGAGGTTAAGAGCACTGGTTGCTCTTCCAGAGGTCCTGAGTTCAATTCCCAGCAACCACATGATGGCTCACAACCATCTACAATGAGATTTGGTACCCTCTTCTGGCTTGCGCGCATACATTCAGGCAGAATACTGTATACATAATAAATAAATAAATCTTTTAAAAAGGGGATGTTAATGATAACTTTTATAACATGTTATTACAGTTTCTTTTCTAATTTAAAAAATATTTATTGACATGTGCAGGTATTATGTGAGACATGGTATTCATGAGGAGATCAGAGGACAACATGGAGAATCTGTTCTAGCCTTTCACCACGTGTGTCCAGGGGATTGAACTCAGATCATCACACCTGACAGCATGCTCCTTTACCCATTGAGCCATCTTGCCAGCCCTTTAGCACAGTTTCAATTGGCTAAACTTGACTCTTTGTTTAAAAGGTGGGGGGAGGTGGAATTACAACTATAACATAATATTGATCACACTTCCTGTTCATAAAATCTGATTTGTTATACCTAATATCCAACCTAACTCTTTATCCAGGAAAATACAAAGTTATCAAAGGCATAATCTCACCTGTTGGTGATGCATACAAGAAGAAAGGGCTCATCCCAGCCCACCACCGGGTTATCATGGCAGAACTTGCCACCAGGAACTCACACTGGGTGGAAGTGGACACATGGGAAAGTCTTCAGAAGGACTGGGTGGAGACTGTGAAGGTGCTCAGGTAACCATGCCCTGGGGAGGGGGGAGGGCACGTTCCCATCACTGTAGTCTCAGTTCTGCATCTGACTGCAGCTCTGTGAGGTTGTCACCAAGCTTCTTAGTCACTTCTATTGTTGCGAAGAGACACCAGGACCAAGGCAACACTCATAAAAAAAAGCGATTAATTGGGGCTTGTTTACAGTGTCAGAGGCTTACACTGTCATCCTGGCAGGGAGCCGGGCAGCATACAGTGCACAGAACAGTAGCTGAGAGCCGCCTCCTGATTAGCAGGTCCACACAATGAGACTTAAAGCCCACCTCCAGTGACACACTTCCTCCAACAAGGCCACACCCCCTAACCCTTCTAATCCTTTCAACCAGTTCCACTTCCTGTCGACTAAGCATTTAAATATCTGAGCCTATAGGGGCCATTCTTTCTCAAAACGCTACACAAAGGTTGCAGAGGCTGCAACAGGGCAAGGCACCTAAGCCCTTGTATCTTTCCGCGTGGGGTGAGATGTTGGCATGTTTGTTTCCCAGAAAGATGTCTGTCAGAGTGGAAGACAGGAAGCTGACCTGGCCTGGCCTGAAGGAAGAAAGACAGTTGCCCGAGGATATTGCAGCTGTCAGCCCTCTTAGGTGTGGAAGAGGAGAGAATATGGCTTCAGTATTCAACCTAAAAGGGCCAGGTCCAGAGCCCAAAGAGATGAGGCCAAGATTCCCTGCAACTGTCTCTGGACAGGGTTCAGAAGCCTTCTGAGATGTAACTTGACATTTCTCAATTATGATACCTGGCTCTTCCACCCTCTGTTAAGTTAATCAGATGATGTGAACATTCCTGGAAGCCTACCTACCCCCCAAAAAAACTTATAAATGTCTGGACTTTTCATTGTTCTTGGGATTGCTCAGAGAAGTGCACTGAATTTTCTGAAGAGGCTGCTCTGCCCCACGTGCCTCTCACAGTAGTGCTCTCTCTCTCTCTCTCTCTCTCTCTGAATGAAGTTCCTCACCAGGTTTTAAGGGAAGTGCTCCTTCTCTCCAAGGCCCCATCATGTGTAGGTCTCTGTATGTTGTATTGTTTCTGTCTAATGCTCCTCCCCCTTCCCCCTCATGAATCATATTTTCTGAGAGACTCATGTTTTTATTCTGGACCTGCTGCTGCTGTTTTTGTTTCTGTTTATTGATTGCCTTATTTTTAACAAGGAGGAGTGTCAGGAAGTGCTTGCCCGGCATCCAGCCCAGCCCTGTGTGTTGTGTTGTGTGGTGCTTTCAGGAGAGCGTGGGAGGCCGACCAGACCTCTGTGCTCGGAGCTGTAAAACCAGGCCAGTGAAGGAAGTAATATGTAACATCTCTTTATAATCTGGAGAGTGAGTTAAGGGATCTGAAAACCTTTGTCTGACATCTGTTCTTAGGATCCTCAGTCCTCCAGACTGGCTGAACAGGGAAGGGGTCCTTGCAGTCCCAGCAGGACCTGGTCCATTCCCACTGCCTTCTGCGGCTGTTGATGTCTGTAGACAGAGGCACTCAGCCCTGCGCTGTAGGTTCTGGCAGGTGCTGCACCGTGGCATACCCTGTCACTGACTCCTGCCTCACGGCACTCTCCCAGAGACTGCCTTCCACAGACTGTCAGGCACACTAGAAGTTGCCACAAGGACCTCTGTTAGTATTTAGGGTAGGACGGGGCCTTGAGGCAGAAGGTGGCAGCTACCTATGACATACCAGGACTCCCTTTTCATGGTTAACAGGAAAAAGTCTCCCTGTTAATGATAAAAAATTCTCCCATGAGAGGCCATGCTCTTGTTTCAGCCCCACTCCTGCCTTTCTGGCCCCATGGTAACCTGATTATCCCCAGCACATTCAGTTTGCCTATTCAGTGGAGGAGGGACTAAGGACACAAGGGCACAAGGCCAGCCTTCGGGTCTGTCGGTGTGGCTGTCCTGCTGGGGTAGCTTTGCGCTGACGTAGGGCAGTGAGCCTTTGCTGCCAGCCCCTTCCTGCGGTGCTACTTTCCTTGAAGGCCTCAGGCACTTGCCCCTACAGTCCCTGTGTTTTTTCATTGCAAGATCAGGCCATAGTCTTCAGTGGTCAAGGCTGTAAGCTCTGGACCAGCCCATTCTGTTGTACATAAGCTAAGAGACTGTGGTCATTTAATAGCCCCCCTCTCGGAGGGCTGACAAACACTTCAGACAGAAGCTGACAGTAGCGCCTGTTCCCTCAGTCAGTTGTTGAATGTTTCCAATGCCAGGGACTCTGCTGGAGGTGGGCCAAAACTCTTAGTCTCCATCTTCCCCTCCACTGGCCTTGCAGTTTTAGAAGATTGGGTCAGACAGTTGTGTAGAGGAGTAGGTCGTTACTGTCAACTCTTGCTGTTGCAACACACGCACACACAGCATACAGAGAGCACTCTGATGTCAAGGAATGTTCTTTCGGGTTGTCATTTTGTAGACACCATCAGGAGAAGCTGGCAGCTGGCAGCTGCGATCACCCACAAAGCTCACCTGCTCTGGAAAGGCCTGGGCAGAAGAGGAAGTGGACTGAACAGAAGCAAGAGTCCAGCCAAAAGAAGCCCCAGGAGCCCAAAGCAACAGGTTCGTGATTCCTACCAGGGCTGCAAAGCTTGCTCAGATTCTGCAGCAGAGACCCATTTGGTGCTTTTATTCCTTATTCCATACCTGCTGGGTTCCTGATGGTTTTAGGAAGGAAGGAAGGGCTATGGGGCAAAAGACAATAAAGAGATCTACTTCTCTTGCACACACACACTCACACTCACACTCACAATCACTTTTATATGGGTGATTATTAAGAAAATAAAGCCTGAAACTCTGTTTGATTTTTTTCCTCCCAGGTGTGCCCAGGGTGAAATTGCTGTGTGGAGCAGATTTACTGGAGTCTTTCAGTGTGCCCAACTTGTGGAAGATGGAGGACATCACACAAATCGTGGGCAACTATGGGCTCATATGTGTCACTCGGGCTGGCAGTGACGCTCAGAAGTTCATCTACGAGTCTGATGTCCTGTGGAGACATCAGGACAACATCCACCTGGTGACTGAGTGGGTCACCAATGACATCTCCTCCACCAAGATCCGGAGAGCTCTCAGGAGGGGACAGAGCATCCGATACTTGGTACCCGACCTCGTGCAAGAGTACATTGAGAAGCACAGTTTGTACAGCTCCGAGAGTGAGGACAGGAATGCTGGGGTCACCCTGGCTCCTCTGCAGAGGAACATCGCAGAAGCTAAGCACAGGCAGTCCACATTGTGACACTGTGCATGACGCCACATGCTCTTCTGCAGGTCCAGCTCAAGCTGCTGTTAGGAACTCAGGGAAGGGATTGACATCCTGTTTCACAAACTTAAGTTTAAACGTTTGATTAAAACCAACAGGGGATTAAGATCAGTAGCTAAGATGAATATTATAAAAAGGCCATTTGAAAAAAAACAATGTAATTCATCTCTAAAATAGCTCATTTCATTTTCTAAAATGGAAAAGTTTCAATAATGCTAACTCCAAATAAGTTTTTCAAGAAAGGACACCATGGCCTTACCACACAAGAAAAGCAAATGTGAAAAGCAAGTCCACTCAAAAGCCTTACTTAAGCAGGGCGGTGGCGCATACCTTTAATCTCAGAACTTGGGAGGCAGGCAGGCTGATCCCCACATGTTTGAGGTCAGCCTGGTCTACAGAGCAAGTTCCAGGACCGCCATGGCTACACAGAGAAACCCTGTCTACAAAACAAAACAAGCCTCACTTTAGGGGCTGGAGAGATGCTCCGAGGTTAAGAACACTCGATGCTCTTCCAAAGGACCCAGATTCACCTCCCAGCACCTACATGGCAGCTCACAACTGCCTGTAACTCCAGTTCCAGGGGACCTGATGTCCTCTCTGGCCCCAGTGGGCTCGAAGCACACACATGGTGCATAATACATGCAGGCAAAACACCCACACACAAAGAGAAGGAAAAAGGAAGAAAAGTCTTACTTTAGCAGGCTCAGTGATACACCCCTGTAGCCCCAGCGGCACCCGGAGTTGAGGTAGGGGAATCAGTTTGAACCCAGGAGTCCGTGATGACCCTAGATAATGTAGACCTTTTTTCTTTTTTTCTTTTTTTTTTTTTTTGTTTTGTTTTTCAAAACAGGGTTTCTCTGTGTAATAGCCCTCGTTGTCCTAGAACTCATTCTGTAGACCAGGCTGGCCTTGAATTCAGAGATCTGCCTGCCTCTGCCTCTGGAGTACAGGGATTAAAGGCGTCCACTGCCCAGCTAGACCCTTTCAAAGAAACAAAATGAAATCCTAGCATTAGTTATGAAGAGGATTGACATGTTTGCGCTTGGTGCCAGCCATCTTTATCCAGGATAGACAAAGAAGAAATTCTTTAAAACATGACCTTGGCTTGGCATGTAGATCTGGTAGAGCATTTGCCTAGCAGGCCTGAGGCCCTGGGTTAAATTTCCAGTACCACGTGAGCTAGGCATGGCATTGCACCACCAATAGTCCTGGAACGGGGAAGATGGAAGCAGAAGGATCAAAAGTTCAAGGTCATCCTTGACAACAGCAAGTTTGAGGCCATCAAGGGATGCTGAGGACCCTGTCTCAAAATAGATAAGTGATCCTGTGAGATGCACCAGTGACCAGCGATCCTCCAGCTCTTCAAAATGAAGTCAGAATATACCACCGTTCTAGCTCCTCATCACAGCAGCTGAGTAACGGCTGGCTGGACGGCTCATCCGAGAGCACCTCCTGCCACGCCCTGCAACCTGACTTCAAGCTCCAGGACCCACAGAGTTCCCCAGTTACCTTCTGACCTCGACACAGGCATGCACACATGGATTAAATAATAAGAAGAGCTGACTAAGCTTTGCCAGATTCGTCTGCTTGAATACACACCGCTGGAAGCAGGGTGTGGGCTTGGAGACGGGTTGGGGCCCTCTGTCCTCAAATGCCCATCGGGACAGGCAGGCACTGCCTTATGCGTTCTCTTAGCACAGCCTTGTTGCTGACCCAGTTTCATCTTTAACTTTGGGGACAACTTCAGATAAGATGTCACAAAGCCTCTGAGAGACCCACAAAAGATGAATGGACCCATTTAAGGATTTTAAAAGTATAAATGCTCAACCTTTATATTTTTACAATTAAAGATGAACAAAACTCTTCAGAAGTGAGGAACGGACTGGGTCAGCTCCAGGAGCTCTTGGATGGCTGCTTGGTGGATGAAAGCCCCACACCCTGCATCTGAAACTGGCAAGTTCCAGAGCTCCGGGCCTCTGCCCTTGCTGAGGGAATCTGCATTCCCAAGTCTGCAGAGAGGATCCCTTGCCTCCTCCTGTTTCTGGTTTTAGCCCTGTGGCCTAATAACTGAAATTACAGTTTTTGCTAAAGCACAGGTTGTTATGTGGTTTTTGCTGACTGAACTTTTATGGGAATTTGCTACCACACTTTTTTCAGTATCTTTTCTTGGAGAACATAGTCAGTACCTGAGGCAGTCTTCAGGGTCAGGGTGGCCCCACGTCATGTTTGCAGCCTGGTGGGGACGGTGGGGACCAAAGGCTGTGGCCTGCATGTCCTCATGCCCCAGGAACCAGCCCTCCATACTCTGCCTTGCAGTTGGCAGGGGCAGGACCAGGACAGACTGGCTCCCACCAGCGGCCTGTGTGTAATATGGCACCCACCCAAAATCCCCAGGGACCTTCTGCCATCTTTGAGGCAAAAAAAAAAAAGCACAACATAGCTTCTCCTTGTCCCCGCTGACTTCCCCCAGGGTGTGTCTGACGCTAGGTAGCTGGGACTCATGTGATGGTCCCGTTTCTAGTGGCCGTTTCTAGCTGCCACCAGAGTGTGGTTCCGTGGTTCCCTTCTCCTTGGGATGCCTAGATGCTGCCAGATTCCTAGCTGGGAAGGATAATATGAAATGGATTGGGTCCCTCCTAGGCCTCCAGTGCAGCCAGGCTTGAGTGTATGGGAGAAGACCTCCTTCGAGGTTTTAAGTGTTACAGCTCTCTGACTGGGGCCAGCACCAGGCCAAACGGCAGCGGGAGCTCGGGCTCCAGAGCTGAGCCAGGCGCCAGGCGGCAGCTGCCTCAGGAACAATGACTGCTGCTGCTGGACAGGGTGGGCAAGGTTGCATAGGCCAGCGGCAGCAACAGTTCCCGCTGGCTCACGGCCGACTGTGGGAGCTCCCGGAGCTCCGGGCCGCAAGCTACAGTGACTCCAGTGGCTGTGGTGACTGGTGGCCACCGCAGGAGCCTGACCAGGCAGGCCGTTCCAAGGATGCATTCTCTGGAGAGAGAAAGTGCCCTTCCATAAGTTTATAACTAGGTAAAAACAGCCTCAGACTATGCTTGGTGAAACAGCTTGTCCTCTTTATTCCGTGTGAACAGGGACTATATAAATCCTGGGAGTAGGAAGGGTTTTGGAAGTGAACACATTCTATTGGCTGAGGCTAAGCTGCTGGCGACGCTCTGTTGACATGAAAAAAGAATTCCAGCAGCTGTGCTGCTGTGACTGGCTACCGATGACCGCCTTGTGGGTCCTTTGCTACGTGCTCAGAGGCAGGCATGGAAACAGGGAGGAGCTGTCCCACTCCTGCCATCTGAGGATGAGATTCAAAACCACAATTTTGAGATTTCTGGGGTTTGAACATGCTCCACCGAACCGGTTTCATGCCAGTTCCTCTGGTGGCATGGTCTGCATGCTCCACACCAGAGGAGAGGTGATGCTAGGCCAGCCAATCAGAGAGAGAAAATATGTGTGTTTACAAAATACTGAAGCAGGTGATAATTCATGAGAATAACAATACCAGGGGCTGGAGAGGTGGTTCAATGGTTAAGAGCACTGTCTGTTCTTCCAGAGAGGTCCTGAGTTCAATTCCCAGCAACCACATATGGCTCACAACCATCTATCTTTGATCACACAATAAATAAATCTTTAAAAAAAAAAAAGAATAACAATACCAAAATCTGAACATTTGAATAATACAAAGAGTCTTTACACAGTACACAAATGATTATCCCAACATCTCCCCCTTTTAGTCCAATAAAAGGCCTTTTCTCTAACAGCAATGAACCATGTCCAGTAGGAACAATTATGAGAGCTGTTAGGTAAGAATTGTATTCACAGTGTCCAGTCCATTTTGTTTCTGACAACTTTGGAGAAAGTACTCCACTCCATCCTAACTTGGCGAGTTCAAAGTTCTGTACCTAAATCACTTTCTATCATAACTTGCATTACCAACCTGAAAATACCTTTTTAGACCTTAGAATGTTCTTCTTAAATCCAAAACAACTTAAGCTTATCAGAAACCTAAGAAGGACAAATGTTACCTGAGCAATCAGGAAGTACAGAGCAAGAAGCTTCCAAAACTATACAAATGACAGAGACTGTTGGTTGACTGGACAGTCACCCAAGGTTCCTTTGGAGCATTGGGTCATCAACCTTCGGCCCACAGGCCCAGAATATCGCTGGCAGACTTACCTGTGATAAGAAATCATGACAGACTGGCTTGCCTTGTCTTGGAAAAATTGGACAGTTGACTTCCCAGTGTCCTGCTTGTCCACAGTTTGGACAGCATGCTGGCAGTGATTGAGGCAAGGGTGGTTTTTCCCCAGTGGCCATATTTGCCACACTTGAAGCAAGCTCCATTTGGAGGTTCTTCAGTGTCCATCATCTTCTTTGAAGTAGACTGGGGGTGTGGCCAGGAACTGGACTGTCTCACTATTACGAAAAGCCTTTTATTATTAAAACATCTTAAATGTCATATTCTGTAGATCTCTGAGGTGTTTGGAGACACCTACCTATTTCAGTATATCTAAATGGACAAATGTTGCTTGTTTCTAGCTAGTTAGTATGTGTTTAACTTTGAAACATCTACAGGAGGCTAAATAAAGCTTATTTCTGTAATTAACTAAACTAGTACCTAACCAGACCACAAATTTGATTATGATAGGTGACTAACTACTAACCTGCATTTCTTAATTTTCTTAAACAGTTTGTAAAAGTAGCTTTCATAGGAATAGAACTTTATATTTTAAAACAAGTTGCATAAGAACAATACCTTAAACAAGAGTTGGAACATATAAGCAGTTTGTTGTAACAAAAATAACCTTACATTTCTGTCAATATACAAAAATCCATGCATATGTAAAAGATTTGAGAATTGTAGTTGTTTTTTAATCTAAAAGTAGATTCAAAAATCTACCCTTTTAACTTATCCGCATATCATACCCTTTTAATTTTCATCATCCATTGCTAGACAGCCGTGGTGGCGCACACCTCTAATCCCAGCACTCAGGAGGCAGAGGCAGGTAGATCTCTGTGAGTCTGAGGCCAGCCTAGTCTACAAAGCAAGTCCAGGGGGCTGGAGAGATGGCTCAGTAGTTAAGAGCACTGTCTGCTCTTCCAGAGGTCCTGAGTTCACATGGTGGCTCACAACCATGTATTATGGGATCTGAGGCCCTCTTCTGCCATGCAGGCATACATGCAAATAGAGTGATCATATGTGTAAATAAATCTTTAAAAAAACATAACAAAAAAGTGTTAAATAAAATAATGAAATAAAAAGCAAGTCCAGGACACCCATGGACTTGTTACACAGAGAAACCCTGTCTTGAGAAACAAACAAAAAAATCCTATCACCCCTGTATCATACCCTTTTAACAATCATCCCTTTTTTTGTCTTTTCATGCCCTCTGCCCATTTTTTCCCACTAATACTGGATAGGAGAGAAAGGATAGAGGAGAGAAACAGATATCTGAATCTAACCTTCTTTACTTTGTTTCCTCCCTGACAAGGACCCATAACTTGTAACCAACCCCCCTAAATGACAACAAACATCCATAACCCAACAAGCGACCAAAACCACCCACCCCACCTCTAGGGAGTGAGGACAGTCTGCAAGGCTGGCTCACTGGGCTACTTGTCTTGTCTTCATTGGTGTCTTGTCCTTGTGAAAGCACACAAACCTTTAAAGGTAATATACAGTTGTACATTAGCACATGTATGGAATGTTCGGTACGAACTAATGGGCTAAAGATGATTCTCTGCTTTATGTTTGAGCAGGTGAAAGCCATCTGTCAGCTTTATAAGCCTGAACTGTATGACCAAACTGTAATTTAAATCTCCATCCATGCCATATGAAAGGATGGCATGTACTAAAAGTCATGAGGGCTCTGTAGCCAACAAGATTCACTGACTGTGCATATTCATGTCTCAGCCAGTCTCAGGGCTGTTCCCACGTAGGGGATCAACAATTACATCACCGTTTTTCTCCCGGGTCTCTTTCTTCACGTCTGCAGCCAAGATCTGTAGAAGGTCTCCCCCAGTCAAATCTAACCTTTATGAATTTTGCAGAAACCCACAGCTTTTTGCTCACTGTTGAAACATAAACAAATCCTCTCCAACACAACACATCTCCTGACTTCCAGTCTGAAGTCAGCACTTCCTTCTATATTTACGGGTTGGTTTAAATCAGCAGTCCTGTCTCTGGGAGATCTCATATCCCCCTTCTGTTTGATGAGCACTTCCTTTAAAGACCTGTTAGATTCATTTAAACCCTGGGTTATCTTTTTAAGAGACTCAGGTCATCCCGGTTGTTCAGCCTCATCCAAGGCGTTAAGGCTATTGTATGGCATTGCTCTGAGGTGGCAGCCATCAAACATACTCTGTACTATAAACTCAGAATATTGACCTTCACCTACTAACAGGCTCTTGACAATATTAATACCTCTAGTCTGATTTTGCTGCCCCATAACTGAAGCCTCATCTTTCCACCATGTTACCCATTGTAATTGAGAGCCAGGTTCTAAGATTGCGGATAGCAAATCTCCCCAGTCTTTTGGAATTATATGATTTTTTGTGGCCCAGTTATTAAATATCCATCTTCGAGATAGGGTTTTTTATAAAGATTTATCTATTATGTATACAATATTTTGTCTACATGTATACCTGCATGCCGGAAGAGGGCATCAGATCCCAGTATAGATGATTGGGAGCCACCATGTGGGTACTGGGAATTGAACTCAGAACCTCTGGAAGAGCAGACGGTGCTCTTTACCTCTGAGCCATCTCTCCAGCCCCTTAAATATCTGTCTTAGATGGGATCAATGTAAGCCATAGGCCATTACTATTTTTTTAAATCTCTTTATGCCTATCACCTTTATGGGCCACCACCCAGATTCCTCAAGCCCTTTTGGGTTTTTCTCATCTGGATCTAATTGTCTTTCTGTAGCTGGAAAAAAAAAAAAAAATCATTGTGGGTTTTCTAATGGACAAGGACTGCCATTTTGCAGTCTCGTCACAAGGTGGCGCTGTAGGCTTTAGCTTGGATTCATCTAAAGATATTTGGATTTAAATAATTTTTGTTCTAGTGTTTGCAGCATATCATGGA